TCAGACGAAATAGGGTGAATACATCTCATTACACTGATTTACTGGTAGTCTCGAAACCCTACTCACTTACTGAAACTTTATGTTTAGAGTCCCGTTAGGCATTTTTATGAGACCTAGGGGAGGTTTAAACTGCACTTCACTTCTTTCTAGATAAGAATACCTTTATGGAAAGCAAGACTATGTGAAATATAATGTAAAGCTTACAAATGCTCATACCATTATAGGAAAATTCAACTACCAGTCCTTATCCCCTTGAGCAAAATAATGTGGATAAACCTATTCATTTCAAGCCGAAAATTATTTGTGGTTTGCTGCTTCTGGCAGAAATCTTTATCAGTTATAGCCTCCTTTGAATGTAATTTCAATCCGTCTTGTAATAAATAGATAAACCCTAAATATTATGCAGCCTCTTCTTAGGATTTAGAAAGAATATATAATCTACTTACAATATGGCTCGTGATCATGAAGGCCCGTATTCATCTGGTAGTGCTGCTTTTTAGCCAAGGCATAAGAATCTTTGTTTCGTTTTGTTTCTTGGCCCTCAGATTCCATCGTAGTCCCAATCGCAGCATCGGAACTTCCAACGTGCCGTGCCATTCCAGAACTCACTAAGGAGGGTTTTTCTACGGGCTGGCCGGACCAAGCTTCACTCTCATATTCATAGGTTTCCACACCTTCATTCTCACTCTCATCATCTTCATTTATATCACCATCCATTTCTGAAGCTGCTATCTCTGGCCATGAAGTGTTGTATAGTAAAAGACCACCACCTGATACTGAGCGCACTAGCTGCATTTTGGATGAAATATTTCCACTGTTATCAGGTCCAATGCTACCGGTTTTACTTCCACCATCTGACTTGTCCATAATAGCCTCGTCCGCTTGACGTTCTGCATCATTTTGACTAAGGTCAAATCGCCCAAAGACGTGAACTTGTTCTTTTTGCGTATTTTGGTCAGAGAGTGTCTCGAATGGAGCCTTGGTTACCTGATATTCTGTTGGCACTTGCTGCTTATATGTGGCTGTAGATACTGAGGAAATTGAAACTGAAATGTTTTCAGATATCACTTCCTTCGTTGCCTTCTCCAGTTCAGCCTGCCGATCCAGCTGAGTTTGATTGGAAATTTGGTAGGTCGTGACAGCAGCAGGTTCTGCTTTTAGCCAGCCCATAGATAAATGCGATTGATTTGACCGATTGAGCGTTTCCTTTACTCTCCCAGAAATGGATATGTCTGGTGAATCCATTCCCGAGGATTGAATAATTCCACGCGGTTTGAGAAGCGAAAAGAATCCAGGGGGTTGGGAATTCTGATGCTCAGCAGTATAATATGTGCGGGATTTAACTGGTCGATAGTGACGAGGCCATTTAGACATTTTAAAAAGAAGTGATCTAAATTCAGAGTAATTTTTGGAGAGGAGTACGAGCTTTTGTAAATGCTGAAACCTCGATGCATCGTCAATCTGGAGAATATGCTCAGTGAACATATTTAATTTCTGTCCGGATTCTTGTCGTAATTGCTTCAGGTGTGACAATCGGGAGTGCCTCTGTTTTTTTTTGAATGACTCCCATTCCTGTAGTAACGCATAGGCCTTTGGTTTATATAGCAAAGTGAAAATAAAATAAGGCTACAAATACAAGTAAAAGAATTGAGCAAAATATAATAGCAATAAGGAAACAAAAGAAAAAATAGAGATTCATTTAGGAACTTTGTTTATTAATTGGAAGAGGGCAAATCAGTGAGAGAAGAAACATAAAATGTATAGGCAAACTTTCAGTTTGACAGATAAGCAAATATGCTCAGACGTAGATAAATACATAATTTGGTCGGTGTCGTTATTAATAAAAAGATAAATCGTTCGAACAAAGTAAAAAGGGTCTCATCAGTCCAATCGTTACCTCCTACTAAATGAATAGATGGGAAGTGTACCTCAGTTCATATATGATTCGGAACTCACTCCTTACTTGTACTCGATCGTTAGCCTCATTGATGGATATACTAATAGCAGAGTTGTTCATCCATTCTCCACTAGTCAAATTGCAAACATATTTTGTTTATATAGGAGAGAGGCATGACCATATTTTCATTGCAATTAATAAATCATATGAGATATTATGAAGAAATAAATGTTATTTAGGCATAAGTTGGAATTTTAATTAATTAGGGAAGTAAAAAATCCAGTTGCTGTTTATACAAGTATTAAAGTGTATTTTTACTTCTAAACACCTGATTTGACCTACATTTTATTTTTGAAGCTATATGAAGAGGATATGTTTCTAAGCCACGAAAATGCTTATTTTATACCATATGATAGTTATAGACCTGAATGAATATTTTGAGTAGGAGAAAAATGAACAACTGCATGTCTAGTTTTCGAATACTATCAGCATACTTTAATTTATGCAATGGAGATCACTTTTCAGTTAGTAATTCGCCAGACGAGCGTTAAACACATTGATAAATGATACGTGGTCAATGTCCGTGCTCTCATTTTATAGATTTTAGAGTGGAAAGAATTTTTTGTTTTAAATAGTTGATAATTAATACTTCTACTTTCTGAGCGGATAAAGTTATCATCAAAAGACATATAATACAAATAAGTTTTGTAAACTAGATCGATAAGTTTCTACATTTTCTGTGCTCCGTTAGCACCACCAATGAGATTAGAAAAAGAATCATCACGTCAAGCACTAACTAGTGACCGTCATAGAAACTACTTAAGGAACTGAGGGTCACAGGACTTTTCAGGACTTTTACATTATAAGAAAATTTTCTTGCTATTTCATTTTTAAAAATTAGTTAAATATAATCTTTTACTCTATATGTTTTATTCATATCTTCACCTTGCATAGCTAAATGATCTTGTTACAATTTTCCACTATTGTTTTTTTGTGTTATCCTAAAAACATGGAGGAATTGCAATGTTGATATACCGTCATTTAAATCATATTTAGAATTTATGGTTATTCTAATATCAAGCTATTTTCTCTAAATATAGCAACGATTTTCCATTCCAACTATTGAATATTTGAAACTGAAATTTTTTTTAAGTATTAGTTTTAAATCTTTACTTTTCGGATGATGGATATCTGAGTCCTTCAAATATGTTATTTGTTCTTCAGTCCTAGTATATTTATTAAGAGACAAGAGGCATTCTTAACTATTTTTATGGGAAGATTTCTATAAATCTGCATACTTTTACTTCATTTTATTACAATCTTGAATGCAATTTATTCATTCGCCTGAGTTTGTAAAATTGCATGTTTACTTTAATTTCAAATGATACGTCTCTTTGTTTAAATATGGTAAATGGTGATTTATAATTTGGATCAGCTACATTATGTTTATTTTTCATTACACAAGATTTAATTCGCATAGACCTTAAATCTAAAATGATTAGGAGTCTTTTCAATTTTATCGATATATGTATATAGAGCAATAAATAATTCTATCACAATTTTACTTTTAATATTTTGTAACATCATCAAAAAATATGTTTTAATCTAAGTGTTTGCCTACTCCTTACCCAACCTCTAATCTCTTCATAGCTGATCTGTAAAGAAAAGTACTAGTTCGGTTAATTGACTTAAAGTATAAATTCCGATCCGTTCATTGTTAATATCTTCTTATCTTCACTCAACGTAATTAAATGGATCGTAAATGCAATGTTTAGGTTTAAAAATTATTTCGAATTTATCTTCTAATTCTAGCTTCAATATATGGGCTCCTTAGTGTTTTATTGTTTATTTTAATGGATATAAACTCATTCACCTGATATGGATTCCACTCTCGCCAATGGGAGGCGACAAAGTTTCGTAACTGCTTCTTAGGCATTTCCTTCTCATTGATCGCGGTCCGGAAAAACTTTCTTCGACATGGACAATAATTACGTTTCGACAGTTTACGAGTTTCTTCGTGGCCTCCTTGATTTGGAATAGCTCCTGGCATGATTGATCCAGGCCCCAAATACGAACTAGTACTATTTTCGCCCTCGCTCCCCTTGTTGTGGACGCCATATTGATCAAATATATGAAGGTAATTGGCAGTCCTATTTGGGCTGAATGTATGGCTTGAAGACCAGGATCGTTGAAGGTTGCGATCCACAAAAGAGTAATTGATAGCTTGCCTAAATTTGTAGGAAGGGAACTTTTGGAAAAGAAAAGAGAAATAATATAAGTTTTTCGAGGTATGTGTTGACTTAAGTGTGATTTTTAGTTGTGCAAAACGATCAATTAGAACTTATAATAGTTTAAGAATTGTCGATGCAAAAATGACAGCATCACTTATTTTTTTTGCAAATTGTACTTGTTGCTTTCGTAAAATCTAACCTTTAAATATATAAAAATTAAGTAAGCAAGTAAATGGTGTATTATTATGCATAACAATATGTATATATATGCATAAATCAATGAATTCCCAGATTTGGAGATGGCTTGTCTACTAACTCAGCAAATGTTCTCGGATTTATTGAGAAAAGTATTTTGGACATCATCATTTTAAGGTGCAACTAGGTTACTTTGCTCGAACTTAAAATATCCATCTCGGTATCTATACTAACGTTAATTAGGTTTTAATCATATTAAGAGATTCCAAGTTAATAATAAAATATTGGTTAATGTATACTTCCTTAAACAGACAAACGCTTGGTCAAAGCAAAACTCAAGATAATAAGTATCTTTCTTGGATCGCACTCAGCCTTAATTTTATCTCATATTTGTTATCAAATTTTCTTATAATCTCCTATCAGAGGTGCCACATTGCCAAATGTAGGTAATAAATAGGGAGGCAGAATGCTTGATGGGGCAGCTGAGTTCTATTAGCTGGGATATGTGTCCCAAAAAATTATAGCGAGGGAGATCTCTTACGATATGAAAAAAGAAACCTTATGTAGTGGCATTTTTATGCTCAATATTAATTTTCTTATGATAGTTCTTACTTTTTATTTAAACTTATATTTATTACATGTTTATTCCCATTCCTAACCCCAATTTTGTGAAACTATCCGGATGCTCAATACAACGGAACTTCTCATCCAAACTTATAGAATTTAGGACAAATTCTCTTTTTAATGCAAAATAATTGAATAAATGTCCTGGCTCTCTCATCAAGTTAATGCAAACAAAATTCTGTCCAAAGAGTTTGTAGAAAATAAAATTAACTTAATTGCCATTTTGCTTCGTAATAAGAATATGCAGTAACTCTGTTAGTAGGCCTTTGTATAGAGCTCTGAGTACTCCACTTCTTTTTGTTTGAAAGTAAGAAGATCTATCCTTAGCTAAAGCGTAGTCTTAGGATTGCATAAATAGCCCAATATACTGGCAATTCTTACATTGTGCATCAAAATCAGGACTCAATTCAATTATTCTTTGCCTCAGAAATTTAGTTGACTAAAAATCTCAAAATTTCATGTCTCAAGACTTTTACTGATACTGGATGTACAAAGATGGCTATTTAATGATAGGTTGTAGGGCTGTGTCCGTCTGCGCTCATAGACCTATTCATTCTGACAGGTTTCCTCTAGCCATGCCGCGCCCTTGAGCATCAGTGTAAAGTTACTAAAATATCTACACATTTCAAAAAAGTTCTTTCCTCCTTAGGAATAAAACTTTAGATTATAACCTTATTTTTTCATCATGTATTTGCCATTATATACCCAAAGCAAAATGGAATATTTTCAAATTAAGGCAATATGTAGGGCTTATAAATCAGTACAATTTAAATAAAGTATATAACCACGGGTAATAGTTTAATAAAGCCAAGGTACTGAATCAAACAAGCCTAGTTGGTTTTAAAGTGTTAGAAATAATTATTTTATGATAACTCTGGCAGGATGAGTTAGCCCATTAGCAGCAGTGAAATGTCTATCAGGATAGATTTAAGCATTGAAAATATCCCTACTTTTTACAATAATGAAGTCATTAGGGAAACTAGAACCTTTAAAGACAACCTAACAATACGAATTAAATTTTAAAATTTTATTATTATTAATATTAGTTAATAAGAGAAAATCATTAAAAGAAGTAAATCTCGTCTGATAGAATTTTAGGATAATTTATGCAAGACTAAAGCAAGCATTTTCCTTAATCTAGCTGTTATTTGTAGAGTGACTTTAATAGTATTTTACAAGAATTTGGAATAAAAAGCTGTTAGAATTTGCAAAGAATCAAAATTGAGCTATCTCATTTATTTTTTTAAATAAAAAGAATGCTTACATAAGTTATAGTGGTGTGATGATAACATTTATTGTTGAACATGGAGAAAAGTTGCATTTATATCTATTGAACCATTATTAGCCAATACTATTGATTATTTTATTGTAATTTTAATAATTCAATGTTCTTCTGATTATATTGCCTATGGTCGGATTTTACCTTA